ACTTTAACAAAGTATATAATTAAGGATGATCCACTTGGTATATATATATATATATATACCTAACAATATGTATTATATGCAACTAATTAATCGTTCATGATTTATAACTGTACATATATCTATATATATAAAATTATGAAACATATATATGAGGGTAGTTAAAACAATTTTTAATTTATTTTTTTTTTTTCATAGAAGTTTCATATATCAAAAAATAGAAATAAATTTGATAGAAATTAATTTTATGTTAGGTTACAAATTTTTTTTATGTCTACCCATAATAAGAATAATAATTAAATTAATTATATAAATTAACAATATCGAGTATTGTTTTTTTTTTAATTTTCAAATATTCTTATCACCGAGAAAATTGTTTATCATTTTAATATAAATTCATCGAATCCATCATAAAATACTTTAAAATAAAAAAAAAGTAAAAAAAAAAAACAAAGAAGAAACATTGAAATTGAATAAACGAAAGTATTTTTCGTAATTTTCCATTAATATAAAATACCAAAAAAAAAAAAAAAAAAAAAATGTAACTAAAAGAGGAAAAAAATGTGAACAATTATTAATCAACTTCCGAGGGTGAGGAGAATAGAAAAAAAAAAAAAAAGAAAAGAAAAAATAATAACAAAAGAAGGAGAAGGGTAGAAAAATGAATTCGATCAATTTGCATGATATTAATCAAGATTGAATATGACGTGTTTGGGAAAAAAAAGAAGAAAAGAAAAAAATACACACACACACACACACAGAGAAAGAAAGAGGGATGAATCCTTTAAACTTTTCGATCGAAACTCGTTTTCCCCCCTATTGTTAGCGAATTAACTCTGATAAATGGCCAACGCGCTCGGCCGAATAATTTGCGAGGAAAATCGAGGAAACCTTTTTTTTTAAAAAAAAAAAGCTTTTTCTTCTCGATAGATCGATAGAAAGAAATAAAGAAAGAAAGAAAGAAAGAAAGAAAGAAAGAAAGAAAGAAGGAAGGAAGGAATAAAGAACGATTTGTCGGTATCGATGAAGAGAAAAGCATTTCATTGGTGAACGTTTTGTTATTTCACAAAAACAAAATAGAAAAAAATAAAATGGAAGGAGAAGAAAAACACAGACACATCGAGAAAGAAAGAAAGTAGAGTAAAAAGGGGGRTAGAGGGAGAAAAAGGGAAAATTTTAACGGCAAATCAGAAACGTCGTTAAATTCAACGAACGAACGAGTTTTCAAGCCAGGACATAAAAAAAAGAGAAGCCATTTTTCATTGAAGGAATGTAAGTAAGTAAGTAAGCCAAACACTTAACTAACTTTAACTCCTAACTGTTCTTGGTAAATTAGAAAATAATTAGAAAGAGTATTATATTAAAGTGTTATTTCGATTATCGAAGTTTATTGATCGATAGTTAAACAAATTTTCTTTTTATTTCTTCTATGTTTTATCTCTCATTAGATGATTCTCATTACAACAACAACAACAGTACCCACACATCCACCAGAATTGAAGTTTGTATTTAACGAAGAAGGACGACAAATAATAATCATTAAAAAAAGAAAAAGAATAAATGAAAAAATAAATAAAAAGGATAAAGCAATGGGCTAGTAATCGTTTCGATGACTCTTATTCCCGTGTTCGCTTTTATCAAAGAGAAAGAGAGAGAGAGAGAGAGTTTCAGCAAATACCACGAGAATGAAACAGAGAGAGAGAGAAAAGAGAGAAAGTATACATATGTATGTACACGTTAGAAAGAGAGAAATGACAATGAGAGCAAACGCAAACACTAACCCGCTTTTAAAGGAATCCCCCTACAACGACCTAGCTCTTTCACGATATCGGTTAGCTCGATATCCAGCAACTTCATCGACGCGAACTGGATGACGACGTTTTATAGTTACAACCCTTTCATCCGACAACGATGGCAAAGTACACCCTACCTCCTCCTCCTCCTCCTCTTCCTCCTCCTCCTCCTCCTGCTCTTAGTCTAGTAAGAGAGCCAATAAGCTTCAACAACGTGCCGTTTCGTGAACGACTTACTTCGTTTGGAAAAAGAGATAGACAGTTGGATAGAAAAGAATAAAAAAAAATGCAAGTGTAAAGAAAGAAAAACGATCGAAGTGCATAGACAATAAGAAAAAAGAAGAAGAAAAGAAAGCAAAGGTTTTTTTTATGAAAGAACAGGTAAAAATATTCCTTTCTTTAGCTACTAATTCTATTACCACTACTATTACTACTACTACTAGTACTACATCTTTACATTTGTTTGTCTATTGGTCTGTCTGTTGTTTTTTTTTTTTTTTTATTATCTATCTTTGAAGTGCGAAGGAAAAACCAGGGATAACAGGGTATAATTTAAAACGTGTTTAAATTCGAATCGCTGACGAGGATCGATGACGCCTGACTCCCGTCGGCGATCTAACCCAGTTTCTCCTAGTACAACATACGAGTCATGACTCGAGTCGTAAGTTTCCCTCGGACGTGGCCGGCGACTAGTCGATAAAAAAGCAATTTCGTACGAGCATTGGACTGGCCAATACGAAAGATCTTTCATACATCTATACAATGTATATACATAATAATTTACTAATATTCTATACATACATTACATATCCACATTATTTACACATATGTACAAAAAAATATTTTATTTATAATATATTTGTATTATTGTATTGGGTTGCACAAAAATAATTAATATCTTTATATAATAATTATTATATATTATAATATCTTTATATAATTGTTATATATTATATATTACATTATTATATTTATATATTAATATCTTCATTTTTTTTTTTTACAATAATACAAAAGCATACTATTATTTACAAAAAAGTTTTGTTTTTTATAAAAATTTGTATCAATATATATTTAAAGTATGAACTTTTTGAATGTAAACTAATACACATATCTTTTTTTGTTTATTTATTTATTACATGTACACATGTATAAATATTGTATGCAATGTGTTTGTATAATATATAAACTTTATGTTTCAATAAAAAGTAAACACAGATAAAAAATGTTTCAATAAATCCGATTAACAAATGTTATACAGATATTTAATGAAATTAATTTGTTTTGATAACTTACTCAACATTTAGGGGATGATCCGACAGAATTTGTTCGTCCAATAAACGAGGGTTGATGGTTTTAAGGGTTGATGATCTAATAGCAGTARTAGTAGTAGGAGTAATAGTTTGCTGTCAAAGATAAGATCGAGGCGATCGAGATGATTGAAAATCGTGTCCTTGAGGATGACGAAGACATACATATAACCCTCGAAGAACGATTAATTCGTCCAAAGGGTCGAAGGGCGAGCATCATCATATTCATATTCATATTATTCGTCATYATCTTCATCATCATCATCATCATAATCTTTCTATTCATCATCTTTCATTATATTCAGGTAACGACGAGATAAATTATTAAGTTTTCAAATAAAAATAAAAAAATAAAAATATTGAAAAAGATCACGAAGGATCTATTCTACGAGATCGTTGACACGTTACTGCTACCTGTCGATTAACACAACATGATGATAACGATGATAACGATAATATATTATTTGATAGAAAATAAAGTTCGATGTTAAATCGACAAAATGTTATGGAAAACATTTGAATATTCGATCCTTTTTTTCTCCTTGTATATTTTTTAAGCACAGTCTTGTTTGTTTGTTGATTAAAATATTAAAAAAGAAAAAAAAAAGAAATTCATAGAAAACGACATAAAAGTTCACGCGGTTCGACAGGACATTCACGAAACGTGTCAAGGGCTATACGAGAAGGGAGTGTCGCGACCTTCGTCGCACGAAGGCCCGTGGAAAACTGACCGATCCTCCTCGCTAACTCCTTCTCCTCCACCACCTCCACCCCTTCCTCCATCTCTACCTCTACCTCCTCTACACCTTTTCCCTACACCATCATTCTCATCGTCACACTGTAGTAATAGTAGTAGTAGTAGTAGTATAGTAGTAGTCATCGTAGGACGGGAGGCACCTTTTCGTATAACTCCTTCTATTCCTATCCTCTTTCTCTTCCTCTCAACCCCTCATCCTCCACCACCACTACCTTCTCTGCTTTTTTCCAAGTCCGTTGACGAAAGCTTCCGGACGAGGGTAACGGGCATGCGTGATCCGACGCACGAGTAACATGTTAAACTAGGGTGGGAGTTCTAATGGGAGTGTACTAACCAGTTGAAGAAAGAAAGGGAGAGAAAGAGAGAAAGAGAGAGAGAGAGATGAACGATTATGCGAGCTTTATAGCAAAACTGGGTATGTTTCATATTATTTTTGGAATACCCGCCAGGCTTCTTTCTCTCTTCCTCATTTTCTTCATATTTTTTCCCTCAGAGAAAGAAAAAGAGAAAGAGAAAGAAAATCTACCATTGAAAATTGGCTTCTCTTTTTTTTCAACAATGTTACACTATATAAGATTTAAAAGTGCACCTCATTTATTCGTAATTTTCTACGGTAACCCATCTTTTCAAACTAACAGTCCACCACTGTGAATATTTCAAGGTGGTATAAAAACAGTTTTATTCTTATATTTCTTTTAATTTAGCATATGTATAAAAAGAAATATCGACAAAGAGAGAATGCAGGTAAAATTAGTAGATTTCGTGCGTTGATAATTATAATAATGAAAAACAAATTCTTTGAATAATCTAATTAATGATATGATTCTACACATTCTCTGCAAGCATAACTTCTAAACCGTGATAAGTTTTTTTTTCCTTTTCTTTTTGAAAATATTTAAATGTAATCGTTTAAATGATCTTTTTTGTTAAGAAATTTTATATCTAAATAAAGAAAGAAATAAATAAAGAGATGATATCACAACATTGTTCATATATAAACCGTGTTAAAACTTAATGGCCCATAAATGCAAAGAATTGCTATCTTAAATCACTATTAAATATAAATTCGTTTGTAAACGATCAGGTAGTTCTATGAGTGCGAACTACAATATAAGAGTTAAAATTAAATGCTTTTTCACTCACCAGCCTGCAATACCGTTTGGTTGAATTTCTTGTAAAAATATACCAAGCTCGCCCTTGTCTTTACTGCGGAGACCAACCACGCTGAATCCTAAACTAGTGCCTTCTGGTTTGTATAACTGAAAATATAGAAATATAAAATGTTATTACAATGAATAATATTAATATTCAAAATATAATGTATATTTATAAATAAAATATGTATTTTTTCATTCAGTGAATATCTTACCTGCACTGTGCATATTTGACGTCCTCTCGCAGCAGCCTCTATCACCTTTTTGAACTCTTTGGCGTAGGTTGGGGTCGTTATAGGTGGCATTCCCATAACTTCTGAAACCAGACTAGGACTTGTAACCTGTAACAAAGTACATGCCATGCAGGAATAGCACGAGTACATTAAGCTGAAAGGGGTGAGTGTTAACCTACCTGTGCACTGGTGTCTTCGCTGCTGCTATGTAACAATGGAGCAATAGGAACTCTTTGATCGTCCAATTCACTACTATCCGGATATAAATCTTGATACGTAATTGGTCCTAAGGGTTGCACAGGAGTATTTGGAACCGAAAGTTCTAAATGCCCACTGATATTAATATCAAAATCTCCAGGAAGAATAGAAGGATGTTGTCCTAGTTGACTATTTAATTCGAGCAAAGAATCTTGTATTGTAACTATACTTCGGAATACAGGATCTTCCAATAAGGATATCATCGATTGGAGATCTTGGGTGGTATACATTCGCAATTTAGGATCATCGCAATCCTCTACACGTTCTTGAATATGCTCGAGCAAGTGAAGGGCCGTGGATATATCTAAAATTATGAATATGATTGTGTATGTTGTACGTGATAAAATAATGCATTCATTCAAAAAGGGTTTAATTAAAATATAGAATATAAAAATACAATGCTTACCTGCACTTAATGACATCTTAGCTCTCTTGTATTATAAACCTTTCAAGCTTGTATAAAATCCTTTATTGATCCAATTCTATAAAAACATGATACAAAAAGCTGTCATTAAAAAATAAACGAATGAGAAGAAAAAGTAACATTCTTAAGAATATTCTACATTCTTAACCTCAAAATAATGAAACAAACTAAAAGACAGAATTACACAACTCGAATACATTGATAACATAATTATTTTAATGAAATGAATATAATCACGATAACGTATGATATCATGCTGATAAAAGTAAGGACTAAACTAGCTGAATGGCAAATCGATAATCGTTTATGCGAAACTAATGTAAAACTATTTACATAAAATCGATAAGCATTTCTTACCTAATAACCTTATTTAAAAAACACTTTACTACACAGTATGCACTGACAATAAAATAACATTCAAAATAAACAATAAGATTTTGCGAGTAATGATAATATATATATGTATATATATTGCAACAAACAAAATATACTGTCAAAGCTCACGACGAAACCGTAATTGCATCTTGATGCACATCAGCTGACAGGTTCCAAGGCGTCCCGACGTTCACTGCTTAACAACTCCTATCATGGAGTGGGATTCGTGCGCATGCGCTAATGGCGCGTAAATTCAATTGCTTATGTAATCATTCAGATGAAATAACATTCGTAATGAGAAAATAATGAATCAAATTTATAATTGGATAATAATAAATGAATAATACCTTTTCTATATTTTCCTTGTCTACTTTAGAAAAATAATGAAAAATGATACTTCTATCTGTGTATGGACGAATATCAGGAACGAGACGACATTCTGTGATGCATAAATTTTGTTTGAGGAAAAGGGAAACTACTCAATGATATTTATTATTAATTATGCATTATCGATTAATAAAATATATAATAATAACTTACTTTATTTTCTTTCTGTTGTTCAATTATTATCGGGATACACCTTATAATACCGTCTTACTAACACTCAACTAATTTTCCTTCAAGATGGCTGCGTATAAACGAAATGCGCGCGCATATCAAATGCGCAGAAGCCTCGAACCCAATCGACCATTTCTTATTTTTTAACTTTTTTTTTCGTTCATTTTTCTATTTTTCTTTTTTGAAGAATTCAAATGTCCATTACGTATACATATGTGAATCCGAAATATGTGGAAATATTTCTTCAAAATTGTGAGCAGCTTCTTTTAAAGAATATTCTTTCCTAAATGTTGGAATTAATATTATCAATTGTAATCAAAATGTTTTGAACATATATTACTTAAAAGGAAAAAAAATTAAAAAATGAATATGAATATAACTATAAATCAACGAAATAGAACGTACTCTGCTTTTGTCGAAATCAATACGATTGTCCGAACAATCCGAGCTCTGGCAGAAACCTGAATAATCCATAATTTCCGTAGCTTCCAATATTCTTGAAATACTTTATAATAACATAACTAAACGTAGATAAAAAAGAATCGTATAATCTAAAATAAATAAGGAAAAATTCATTTTTATTATTTGTCACGATAGAAAAATATCTCATTATAATACATAAACATAAATATAAGAAATATAATATTTAAACAAAACCAGGATTCGAAGTCAAATTGATAAAATAGAATAGATTAACATTGAAATAAATGTAAATTGTCGAACAGAATGTGTAAAGGTCTCTACGTTGTGGAATAATAAATTCAGCATTACAAATGATTTCCCTCGTGCGAATAATAATTAATTGATGAAAAGGAGAAAGAGAGATAGACAGACAGAGATATAGGAACGCGAACAATTAGAATAGAGATGTTAATCAATTATACAAAATATCATGGATCAAACGTCCTAGCCGCAACATAATTGCCTAAAGACCACAAGCGCAGACTGCCCCATTCTCCTGACAATTCCGCAAAAGATCAAAGGGGTTGAAAGCGATGGAGCGAAGCAACACGTAGATGATGATGATGATGATGATGATGGTAGACCGGGATGGTAGAGGAGGAGGTGGTGATGGTGATAGTGGTGGTGGTCCTCGGTCGTCGAGGTAGGTTGACCTCGGCTGAAAATCTCTAATCCATGATTCCGCCTAACGAGTCATAGAGAGTCAAGTGTCAGTGTTCATCGGCATCATCGAGAACAGGACACAGCATACTGCTTGTAATAGTACGTCATGTCCTTTACAAGAGTCAGTATATTTTCCCGGATGGCCCCACGGAAACCGGACACAATGGAGATACTTCCGTTGAACACAAGGCCAGAACTCGGACGTGGGGGGCCCCACACCGCGCCTGTTTTCAAACGTTATCTATCTCGAGAATAACCATACCTGTTAGTTCGTTGATTCGTTTGTTGATTCGTTCGTTTGTTCGTTACTTTTCTGCAGTGTCTCTGAACATCATTGCTCTGCCCCCTACGGTTCGTCTCCGTGACCATTCATCGGGACGATGTGTATTTCCTCTCCCCCCAATCCCTCCTACCGTACCAACGAACTTCCATTATTTCCACCGTTCGCACTGTTTTTGACCGTCAGTTTGATTACAGGTGCTAGTCGAGTTGGACGTTAAAGAGCAGACCTATCATCATTTCGTTTTCACACCTTCCACGCATACATTCGAAAGCAACAACGACGACGACAACAACGATATTGAGAACATCCCTCTAGGTGTTTGGAGTGGCTCCAAAGGCACTCCGTTTATTATTCATTTTCTTTTATAAAAGAAATTATTATTATTACTCTTCGTAGGGATTAGCTGGAAAGGTAAGAGAAATTATTATTAATTTTATTATTTTTCTTTTTCAAAAATCATTTAATCTCTTTTTAACTTTTCATATACCTATCCTAGTCTTTTAATTAGAGATTTCGTTCAAAGTAATAATTTACGAAAGCTTACTTTTGATATTTTCAAAAATATCAAAATATCCAATTGATCCTTTTAAACTTTTTGGTGATTCACTTACGTAATGATAATGAAATTAATTCGACATGAGAATTAATATCGCAGGAACGGACCATTATAATTCATCGTTGCATGCGAATATCCCATTAACATCAGCGACAGATATATATACACACACCAACACAATAATAATAATAATCGAATTCGTTTCTGATTCGACACGGGTATACGCGTAACAATACTACTCACGTAGTATGATAGAGTTCAAAGCACTGCAACAATAGAACTCCTTTTACGAGGTAAGCTTCGTTGTACCACTTCAAACAACAAAAGCTCTCGCAAAAATTGCAATCTCACTTGCATTCTCTTTTTTTGAACTCGACATTTTCTTTCTTTTTTCAAATGTATTATATATATATATATATATTATAATCATGTGGTACAGAAATATGTTTCACGTATTCAAAGCTTTTATACTCGATTTTGACTCTTTCAAAAAGCCGTTCGTTTCGTTTCAATTCAAAAGAAATGAAAATTCATGAAATTGCTGCCATTGAAAAATTTACAAGCAAACGAAACGTACAACTTAGTTTTATTTGTATTTCCTTCTTTCTTCTTTTTTCAACAAATATTCAGAGTTAACAACACATCTTTTCAATGCATACGTTGAATAATAACAATGAATATTCGATGCAATGGTTTATTTTAATTTAAATCCTTTAAAATGAAATAGAGGGAGAGAGGTAGGGTCTCTAACTTTTACGTAGGACACCTATGTGATCACAAAGGCGATAAACCATAACGTTGTTAACGAACACCGTCATCATCCAACGCCTCCGTCGTTGGATTAAATTGGTGGATAGATGGATGGATGAATGGGGTATTCTCACGTAGCATAATATAATTATCTTTTCTCAATTTACTAATACACATTATTTATATTTCAAAGTATAATTTTCATTATGTTTCTAATTACCAAATAGTAATATCGAATTTATCGACAAATTCTCCATCGTTTGATCAATGAATTTATTTTTAATAAAAATATAAAATACTCTCTCTCTCTCTCTCTCTCTCTCTTTGAAATTAGTTATATATTAGAGAAGTATCAATCCTTTTGGGTATTCGGAAAATTTCGTAAAGTAACATCCTGACGTAGGAGTATTTTATAATAAATTTCTAAAGATCACTCAACCCTGAACATTTCATAGACACTCGTACACATCTCTCTCCTATTTGGTTTATATACTTTTCCTAGTGTGTATTGATACATGAATACGCATATTCCTACGCAATACTGATTTAAAAAAAGGGACCAGAATACGCCCGTAAAGGCATCGAAGCGTGCTTCCAACTTTCAGCCATTACATTACATTATTAGCTGACCATTATCTTCCTTGATTTTCTTTACTAATGTCACTGAAAAACAAAATGACTTATAAACTTTTTCAAATTATTTAAATAAATATATATTATATATCTAGTATACAAAGTAATGAAATATTTTTGCAAACTAAATAAAAATAAAATGTTCCTTTTCAAATAAATATCATTATTTTTTACGTATTTTTTCTAGGATTTAATCGCCGATGGAATTGACAACTTGATATTCAAATTTATTTTTCCCTTAATAAAAAAGAAAAAAAGAAAAAGAACCAATTCAAGATGATTACAAGCAATGTGTTAAGAATCATCTTAATCATTCCATGGATAATAACGAATGTAATAAACGGTGAGTTTTAGCAAATAGAAAAAGGACACATATTTTTACAGATCGATAATAAAAGAAAAAGAAAAAAAAAGGGGATATAGGATCGGGGGAAGAATTTATGATGAAGGGTGGGAAAAAGAAAAAAAGAAAAAAAGAAATATAACCAGAGAATCCCCCATATGAATTCTGGGATATAACACGCGTCGGTATTTTTCGTTTTTTTTTTTGAATTTAGAATTGACGATTCTCGATTGCATAGTTATGTGTCTCTATGCGTGAACGAATAGCGAACGTTCCGAATGTTCTCCGTCGGCAGGACGCATACAACTCGTGGATATGGATCAAATGATGTCACGTATGCTTGCGAAATTGTTTCGTCCATTGTACCCGTCCCGTCCGTACCACTTATTGCTCGAAAATATGGTCAAAGATAAAATCGGAATTCACCATTTGTGATCTACTATTTACTCGGGAGGAAATATAACCCGAATAAATTCTTCTTTTATTTTTTTTTTTTTTTTATTTAAAGGGAAAAAAGAAAGATAACATAGAAATGATAGAATGATTAATTATTAATCATAATTGAACTTACACATCCAATTATTTTTCTAGCACAAACTACGTGCAACGGTGGCATCGGCAGAGTTGTTTACGAAAGATTACCCGATCAACAACTTCAGGGATTTGACGATGACGTGGTATAATATTATTTTAACTAAAAAATGATCAATTATTATTAGAAATATATAATATATTATTAAACAAATATATATATATATATATATATATATATATATATATTTTCCATACAACTACCAGTAAATACAATGTATGTTTAAATTCGTTGTAATATTATATATTTATTAACTAGTTTCTATTTTCAACAGGTCAGGGACTCAGCACCACCCTTCAGAGTGTTAGAAAAATGTCAAGAGCTCTGTTTGCGAGATAGAACAGCTACCAA